AGGAGCCAGTTTGTCACCAGTCATCGCTGACGTTTGCGTGATGTGCTGTCTTTCGGGAGACCATTTGCTCTGACAATTTTGCGATTATCGTACAGCATCCGTCAAATGTTGATTTCTGCATGGCTAGGCAGCGCAACTGTTTTCGTTTTGAGCAGAAACTACTTTCTTAGAGATTCAGATAAACGCATATGCCTTACGTTTTTGCCTTTAATGTATAGTGAAACTTCGTTTAATTTCGTCAGAGAACCTTAGCCAACATTTATACTTTTTACTAGAAAACCTATCAGTGTACCTCCATCCACATCAAAAGCCGTCATTGAAAGGGCACTTTGTCAAATTTAACAAAAATATCCGAGACATTTGCAATTGTGCAAGTAAAAACTAAGAATTTATGTGACATAACAATAAAAATACGGAGGACAGTAAAACCACCATCGTACGGTCTAAATGCAAATGAATATTTGTTTTAAACTAACTTTAAAAAGCAAACCGTGATTTTACTTTATTGAGGTACGACTGGATCAGATTTCAATTAAGGTTGACTGAGGCTCTCTAGCACATTTAAACAGCATGCGTAAACTGCCCAAGACTTTAGTTCCTTATAACTGTACAAAACACGGAGGTTGAATTCTGGCTCCTTCGACTAAAATATATTTGGCAATCCTTAAATGCAAATGACATTGCGTTCTAGAAGACTGATTTAACTGCAAATTAGCGCCTGACGAGTTCCACATCAGTCGAAACAGCTGTATTAATTTTACGCAAACACAGACGAGATGCATAATTTGACATTTTAAATTTTATAAAGATTGCATTGCTTTAAAAAGCCTCGCGCATAAATCTGATTCAAACTAACTTTGCTTTGAAGTTTCTCAATTTCGAGCATCAGCATTGCTACGAGCAGTATGCCTTCCAAACCAGCTAATGCGACGATGCCAAACTGGAACGCCTTCCCATGAATAATTGTTCGAAGATTTGATTCCAACTTCAAACGACATTCACGACCCATTGGAGAACACACGGTGTGACGCATTTGTTTACTTTCTGGATCAGACGATGACATCGATGTGCCAATTGTTTGCATTGCATGAATGGACTATCAGCCCTTAAAGTATCAAAAAGCCTTACAATCAAAATTAACTTATTAAGCTGTTAAGATATGAGTAAAAAAGGCGACGCCTACCACATACTTCATGTTAAATTAATTTCTTGTCAGAAAAATGTCTTTTCATACAACACACATTAGAGAAGAAGGTTAAGTGAGGAGCACCCAGGTTGAAGAAGTGAGCAACAGACTATTACACATGACTCAAATCCAAAATCAAATTTCGGTCCCAGTACCAGTGGTAATAAACCAAAATTTAAATCTTTATTTTGCTTTTCAAATGAATTTGCAGAATGGCTACTACAAATGTCATTCGCACAATTCTTAAAATTCTGACACTTCTGTTCGTACTTTTGTGAAAAAGTAGGATGACCAGTTGTTTAACCCCAAATATTAGTTAAATTAAATATCATTATTAGAAAGGTATGGTATATGACCAAAATTAACAAAAGTTGGTTCCTGTTTAGTAAGTCAAATCAAAACACTGACTGTGTATTGGAGCTTCCCAATTGACGTATTACAAATGCCAACAAAATAGCTGGTGGTTGTAAAAGTATAAGTGGTTTTGTGGTCAGTTGATGCTGAAGGGATATATAAAACTAAGACTAAGTGTTAACGACATTTCTAGGTCATAAGAAAAAGTAAACAAATCCACCAACAAAATCATTAAATGGTCGAAACTACCGATCATGGAGATTTGGAAAATGTCACTATATATTTCACTTTTTGCGCACGATTAAATGTCTATCGTAAGAAATAATTATTTCAAAAGAGCAAAATTTATTCAATAGAAATCAAAACTAAATGCAATTTCATGTTCCTTTGGATCAGATGTGATTTTGTCGGAATGATTGCGGGATTTCCCAAAATTACCAATTCTGAGATACTTGATGATAAGTTTGCAGTATCACTTAGCTTATTTCAAGCCTTAGTAGGGCTTTCATGAAAACGCACACTTCAATAGCACTTCCTTCTCACAAAAGGATTCCACACAAGTAGAGTTTGTGATAAAAAATGGGTCAACCACCAAAGCAGTATTGATATTTACAGTTATTTGAGAAACAATGTGTCCAGTTCAGACTAGCAGGAACAAATACAAATTTTGGTGGCTTTTACTATTATTCGTAGTTTAAATAACAGTAAATGCGTCAGGTGATAAAAACCAAGGGAAAGGGCGAAAGATTAGGCTAAGATAAACACAAGGAACGCCATAAGCTTAGAAGTTAATAAGTATTGACTTCAGTATAATTGTCAGTCCATGGATTTTTTAAAAGAAATATAAACCATTTAGCAATTAGTGTTAGAATATCTGCAACCAGGTTTAGAGTTTTATAATTCATAAAAAAATTCTTCTAAAAATAGTGCAGAAAAAAGAAATTTCTATCCACTCATCCTCTAATTAGCCGCAAATAAATTGATTTTTGCAACCGTGGCCCCAATGTTACAAGTGCGATTGAAACGAATAGACGTTCAGTTTACAGGAATACCTTTACAAGTGTGTCTGCTGAGGAAAACCTTAGCGAGTTTTCGAAGGCGGCGCCAATGAAATACAGCTGGATGAAATTCGAGCTTGATTGGGTTATTTACATTACTCAACAACAAAGGTCAAGCAAATTAATAAAAACAGTAAACTAAAACACGACCTGCAAATGCAATTTAACAGCATGCTTACGTCTTAGACAAATCAATGCAAAAAACCTCTTTTTTTGCAAATTCCTGTTTTATTTTCATAAGTAACAATAAAAACTGCTTATTGTTTTAAAAAGCAAAATAAAAGCATTCAAAAACACGTATTGCAAAACCATCGATGTGAAATTTCAATTTAATCATAAAGTGACGCATTTTGAGGCGCCAAATGAAGCTGCGTTTGTGACAAAGTTTTAAAATCCTAAATTTGTTCTAAAAATAGCTTGATATACATAATGAAATTGGTGTCCCTTTTCCTGGAAATTCGACAATTTTATCAGGAGCAGCACAGAAAAGTACAACATTGATTCTGGAATAATTTTTTTTCAATTCTGGCTAAACCAATAAAAATCATACGGCACTGCTCGTCGATAAATTGAACCGGTTTTCAAAATTTGGTTCATGAAAATGTAAGGAAGCAAATAAACTGAACTTACAGCACACCAAAACATTTCAATAAGTCTACGCTGCAATTTGCCAACATCACGAAACCTTTCTATTTGTTTTTTTGAAATATTAATATAAAACCTACATTAAATGCAATCAGTACCTCAGATTCATGTGTGTAATGATGGAACTACAGATAGAAAATTTATTGTAGATATGTGGGTCATTTGTTACTTGTCATCATGGCAAAGTAAGAGCGAGAAGGAAAAGCTTTAAATGAACACAAAAATGCAGCTTACATAATCATATATCATATATATATATATTTGTAAAAGACATTTAATGCATTCAAATAATGCAATTACCTCTTTTCGAGCACGATTTATTATTTGTTCAAACTAATGAAGTCAGTACAACTAAGTAACGTTTTCGGATTTCTTTGCATTTAGATAAAAAAGATAACTAAGCCGCAATGAACATCAGCCAGACACATGATATTCGACTTAATATAGCAGCTCTCTTTACATTTGACAATTGATGCACCCTAAATTCACATTCACCACCGTCCTCTCTCGTGTATGATACCGTATTGAAAGACGGTGAATCTTTCATCAAAATATTTTTAGCAGTTGTGGTGTTATGGCATCTATTTCGAAATATGTCTTTAAGAACCGCAAAGCCTAAGCAAATGCATTTTTTTCTGTTTGTGATGTAATATCATTTGAAAATCCGTCCTCATCAGCTCGATGGTTTTCTATAAGTTTATTACATTATTGGAAATTTGTTTTTTTTTTGTTAAATTGTTTATATATTCTGTTTGAAGCATTGCGATGACCAGTAGACTTAACAGCTAACTAATGCAACTGTCAGCCATTGCGGCTTTAGCTCACAATTTAATAAATCGAAATTTTGTTAGGGCCTTTGTGTCGGTGATATTACGCATTTCTCCCAGATAAATATTTATAATTGTTCTGCTTTTTTGACAGATAAACAAAGAGGTGTTGCTAAAGTTTGGTCACGAATTGAAAATCTCACCTGCATCGTTATAGTGTGTTAAATGTTTGGCGGCTGCCTAAAATTGTCTTTAAATTCACTTGGTAATTGGTTGGTGGTTCTCTCGCGTTCTCGGGTATTGGATTATTTATACTATCAGTTTATGTTGTTGCTGTGCATGACAGTAGTTTAATTTAGAAAATGCGATTTTTCTTGCGTATGCGCTTGAATTTTGAGAATATTTGAATGGCATGTCAAAGCTCAATTTGGTTTTGATTCACTGACACCTGATGCTGGTTAAGTCGTACTTATTTTGAATGTCTGTAATCGATGACACGGGGGTAATACATTTATGTTTTTCCTATATTTTGTTTGCTTGGAAAATGTGATCTGTATAATTGTTGGTAGTTATCCGAATCTGGTCACTAGAATTTTCCATTTATTATTATCCAAGTTCAACACTTCAGTCGACGTAGACCTGTATGAGTTTACTATTTTTAACAAAAAATATACTGGTTTATCTTCTGATACTTGCATTTTGCTGGTTTCACCAACATAATAATAATGGACGTAGAGTTTCCAGGGTCCCACTTATTTAATTTAACCTCACAACATTTTTAAGATTTCATAAATGGTCCTAATGTTTCCCTAACGTTTATGAATGGTAGTAGTCTTTAGTTCTTTTTCACAAATTTATTGCTCCGACAGTCGATTTCGCAAACAAGTTCGTGACTCGAAAATAATTCGTCGAGTAAGCGTTATTCTACATAGCCTTTAATTTCTATTTTCAAAAGCCGTTTAGGAGTTTTAATTCATGAAAACTCGAAGTACTCCAGTGGATCCCCCCAACATAGCAGCCGGTGTGAAGGCTCGGCGGACGGCCCGAATCGGCTCTCCGTTGTACCGTTCGCAGTCCGACTCCCAGCCGGAAGAGGGCAGTAACTCCCTTCCAGCTACGTCTGTAAACACCATCGATAAAATCGATGAACATATTTCAAAGTCCCGTCAAGGTAGTTGCGTTTTACATATAAGCATGATACTTCTTAGTTAGTCAGAAGGCTTCAATTAAAGATATATGGACAGCATATGACAGGAAATTATTCTTTCAAGGCGTGCGTTTGGTAAGTTCAAAATCACATGCCGATAAGCCTTTTATGCTGTTCAGTATGGTAGGAATTTTAATGAGTTGGCACGGTTTATGCGGTCTCGTGGTCATCGCACGGACACAGCGACAAATACTACATCAAATCAGCTTCCGGTCTCCTCTGAAGTTCCTAGCACAAATCCGCAGCCAAATTCACCCAACGTAGTTGCCCCTGTTGCCGCGGCTGCTGGCCTGTTGCCTAGCAATTCCACGAATCAAAGTGGGGCGCAGTCTGCTGGAGTTGAGGGGCGAACTAAGGATCAGGTGCGACTCTTTTACCAACAAACGTGGCACAAACTCCGGCGATACATCAAATACCCCGATGGTGTCCCGCAACACGTACGAGAGGTGTATGCCATAATCAACTGGTCGATTATGCGGTGTCGTATTAAAAAAGGTAAGCTGCATTTAGCATACGACCTGCAGGTGCCTCGTTGTCCTGTAAGGTTACGCCACTCAAAGGTGACTTTAGTACATTCGAAGGCACACAATGCACCTTTGGAACTCATAAAGTAAATAAAGATTTAGTCTTCCCTGATGCTTTTTAATCCATATTAATTCACTACGCCCCTGTAAAGCGTTGTTGAACCTCAGTAATTTCTGTCTACATGCATTTAAATAATATGTATTGTAATGCGCTTAACGGCATCCGTAGTGTTCTGCTTGGTAGATTAATTTCAACAAATTTTATTATTTGCTTCCGCCTCAAGCCTATGAAAGCGCAATGGTTTAAATGGCATCCCTTTTTGCCCAATCGGATGGGCATCTTAGAACCAAAAGGGTTGCATGGTATTTTAGAAGGTACATTTTCTGCATACTTTTCTGTTTTCTGTGTATTTGCCTGCTCTTGAAGTGTTTTATTTTTTTTTGAAATTTTAGCTCTTGACAATCGTTTGGGGGAAAAGTTGAACGAACTTGTTCATTATGGGTGAGGGTTTGTGTTCATACATAAAAATCTAAATTTGCACACATAAATTACCTGTTATTATAGTTCAACGTGTGTAAAGCACAATGGCCGCCGTTTCCTGCTGCGAACTCCCGTGTGTCCTGCGTTGAAACAACTGAACCATATTTCGGGTAAGAACATGCCCTACTGAAACATTAGGCAGTAGGAGTTATTTGTTTCGATGCAGATCTGTCTCCTTGTGAATGCTGCAGCCTAAAATTTGCAATTCCTAACTGTGAAATACATCTGCCTTTCGATAGCATGAGCAAAAAGGGTTGTAAATGGTCACCAAAGGTTAACAGAGCGCAGGTATTTTTCGTAGACTCAAAATTAACCGAGTACGTGATCCTACCACATGTAAATGCAACAACAGTGCGTATGCAAACTGAATGTGTTGCTTATCTTTCCTATTTAGCTCCAACTCAAGAATTCACCCTCCCTGATGATGTGTGGGTGGAGCTGGTTCCGGCCACTCAGATGGTCGCTTGGAGGGTTCTCGAGGCCGAGCAGAACCCTCGTCTGAGGCTGCGAGTTGACATTAATCGCCAGCTGTCCGATGTCATTAGTTTAGTCGAAGCCAAATGGGTCTTTCCAACTGACAGAATCGTAAGCTCCACTCAAATTTGGTGTTTTCAAAGTACTAGAACGGATTTAGACCAGAATCACTTTGCGATATGCCTACTTGCTCACACCGCTTGTATCCGAGCGATAGGCCGTCTTACTAGGCTCAAAAAATCCATAACGTTTCTCACCCAGAGCTTGAGCTGGGATTCCTGCGTACCCGTTTGTTCCCCTTTATGCTTCCATTACCTACTAACATTGATAAAATGACCTGAATGTCCAAAGCATAATAACTGGCGTCATTCACTGCGGGTGAAGTAGAAGTCAAGTTTCAAAGAAGCATACTTTAATTGAATGGTCACACATTCTTACAAGACATACTGGAATGTCCATTGGTAATACTTTGTATTAGTGAGAGTTTGGTTCTGTGGATCTGTTATTTGTATTTAAATGTCAGGAGTTAAATGAGCCATAGAATAATTACACTTTAACAGATGGACAATGGCTTAACCACTGAAGAAAGCCTGTAGTTGTACACGAGTTGATTTCTCGTAGCAGAATCCTTACTATCTAAAGCTCACTGGTGCGTATTCGGATGCTAAGAATGAAACAAACAGAGATCACTCTAAAATATGACCAATGCAAGCACGCGTCTTGCTCGTATGTTTGTAACATATTTTAGTAGTGTACTTGAAGGTCGACACTACTGCATCATAAGAAAACGTGAAGATTTGTTTTTTTAGTCAGTTCCACATAGACACGACGCTGTTGTTTCCTGGTGCCTTTTGGATCTGCTTCTAACATGGTGTACGAAGATGCAGCAAAGACCATGGCTTGACCGGTGTTTCAAACCATCTTTTTGAATTTCGAACGGCCGAACCTGCAGTGTTAGATTTTTAAGAAGCCGTGGAATGTGTTATTCCACCAACGAGGAAGTGGACATTAAGAGGTCTTATCCACGTTGAGAGCTTCTGGCAATTCGTTGTTGGATAGACCGCGTTGAACTAGTTGACTCGTTACTAAAACATCTAATGCTGGTAAATTATGTAGTTCTGATAAAAGCCGTGGCCTTACCGCAACTTCATCCACCTTGTTGTAAGGGAGTCGACACTCCCTCCCTGGTCTTGGCTTTCTTCCCAGCCTGAATCTTCTCAATCTCCCTAGGCCAGACAGCGTGGTCACAATTTTTTACCTACCTGTAGCCAACTTTGTTTCACATGAAAAGGCGCATTCCTTCACCGCCAATAAAGGAGCGAGGCGTTGGACCTTGGGTAAAGTTTTTCCGAGAAGAAACTAGATCTTAACACAAGGTATCTATTCGAACCCAAATAGTTGGTTCACGTCATGTGTTACACCCTTCTTTGGTGACATGACAAATTACTACATCTGGGGTTGTAATTGGACTGGCCACTTTGACCAGGTCCTAACGGGTCTGTTGGCGATGGGCGTCCTACTCTTTATGTTTTTATTATATCAGCAGTATGCCGTCACAAATTTGCTCGTTTGAACTTGAAATTTAGCAGTAGTTTGTTTACTTACACCACGTGCTTTAATATACCCGACTTCAAATAAGTGTTGCTTGCTTGGAACTGACGGTTCCATTCACAGTCACTTTCACGTTTCAACGCCTGTGCATCTGTACTAATAATGTGCTGTGGTTTCTTCTTCTTCTGCTAGCGATCTCTCTTGTGTCCTGTCGATCCGACTGCTGCTGCTGCTGCTGCCGACAACACCCAGACATCGGAGAAGCTGTTGCTCCGATTCGTCAGAGAGCAGCGACTAGACGGAGCAATAAGTCTGCAGGAGGTCTCACGCACCCGCTCAACCGATATTGCATTGAACGCCTACCTCGCACGACGACAATCAAGTCAGAGTCCTTCGAAGACTGTGTCACCCGCGGACGCCAATGTCGGAAATAGTGAGTTGCAGTTCTTGGGGTGTGTGTGTGTGTGAGATTGCCTTTTACTTGCCGATCTCCGCGATTTTTGGGTTGTTTCGTGGGGTCTTGGTGACCTGGTTTGGGTGAAATTGAGATTGGTCTGTTCCACCCTAGTCGAAGAGCAGCCAAGACAGTGAACATACCTACTCATACTTGCTTATTTTCCTACTATTTTGTGTTCTCCACTTTCCGTAATCAGCACGACCCGTTATATGCGTTGTTTTTAGAACGGTTTCATAAATGCAAAATATGAACGGTTGCTTAAATTTGCAATCGGTTATTAGTATCGTAGCATTATCTGTCCATAAATCATCGTCTAGAACATTTCTCATGTCATCCATTGCTCCAAGATGATACCAGAACACGCGTGTGAATCTATCAAAGCTCCATTTAAAGCGATTAGGTTAAAGATGGAAATCGTGAAATCTGTCAGCTCTGCTGCTATGTGATTGCCGGTTCACTGCAGACGCGGAGCCAAAGTGAAGTCAAGTCATCGAAGAAAGAGAGCGGAAGTATTTCAAGTCACAAAAAGACACCCCACTATAAACCGATTCACGGAATCACAGAGCGGATAATTGTCCCAATTGACGAATGCATTATTGAGCGGATGTATGAGGTAGACTGGGGTGTAAGTGATAACTATCAACGCGAAGGTCCGACTCATCAAGAAAACCAATCGTGAAACTGTACTTGTTCATTGGTGTGGTTGTGCTTGGTGGCACCAGATTTAACAACGATCACCAACAGGAGATGCAAATTTGAGTATTGCAGGAAGGCAATGGCTTATGTGGCCATTGGTTGTGAAGTGTCACAGTTGTTTGGGTTTCGCCACAGCTTAATCGACGGGGCCTTGCGGGGGGGGGGCGTTGTGCATGTTTCCACGAGATCACAGCCGTAATCTGCCTGTGCGTGGGTTTCACAGAACGCCTGTGTTCGTCAAGTCAGGACACGGATAACAAATGACTGGATCAAATGTCGAACTTGTACGCAACGGTGATCTTCTTCCAAAAATGGTATCGCTTAGCCATCCTTACTTGAATTTGGCGGAGAGTGCATTCTGGCTCAAGAAGTTTGTCACTTGACAAGGCGAGCCGTTTACAATGCATTTAAGCTACCAATCGTACCAGCCTGTTTGCCTTAATTCGAAGCACAGAAGCTAGAATACGTCTTTTCTTTAAGCACTAACCAATGGAAATCGTAGGACACAAACTCGGAATCTGTTTCATGGAATTATTGGGCCCGTTAGTTGTCTCTTTTATTTACTTTTTGGCCCATACATCAACCAATTTTTCACGCGCAAATTGTTTTTAAAATTCACAAAATGTAAAACCGGACTAGTATTTTTGAACAGGTATTTTGTTTTGATACTGAAATGTTTTTTCAACTGAAATGATTTTTTTCTGGAATCGCGTCACATGTTTGGTATTCGCGTTTGTTTACGATCTCACTGTGGTTTGAATTTCTGGCCAACACTCGACCCCAGAGCACTGGACAGGCTCGTGAATACTCACCACATTTTCTTTTACGTCCCTTGTTTTGCTTTGTACGTCCCACAGGCCACTATTTGAATTTGTGTTTCATCCGGAGAAACTGCATTTTGCAGCATCAGATTATGCGAACGTGTCAGCTTACTTGTTTGTAAAGCTTCCAGTTCTGAACAAGTAGTCGACCTCAGGTCATGTATCTAAATAGATCAAATTTTAATAATCGAGTTCTGTTTAATCATAAATTTTGTGCCGACCTCTCTACTTTTATGCATTCCAAGTAGTGTTTTTTGACAACTTTTTAGCGCATCAGGTCTTTAATTTCGACGGACCATTTGCATATTGTGCGTCAAGTTTAAGTGACACGCACTGCGTGGGTAGTTTTCACGCTATAGAACCCGCGTTTACCACTGCTGCCGGCCGTCCGTTAAAGTCGCACACGATACCGCGGTTGCTGCGATTGCTATTCATGCTAAAATCAACCGTGTGTGTTCTTGTGAGAACAAAACTTTTTGGTCTTTTTTTTCACAGTTCGTGTTTCACCCACTTTTCTGTGCCCTCAACTTTCAGGGCAATCTGAAGCTAAAACGCGTCCAACACAGCCGAGCGGTTTATGATAGTGGCGTCAACACAAACTCCCCCGTTTTGAAATGGTAATTTAAGGTAACTCGACTTGCAGCGCCAAAATTGTAGGTTAAGATCAGCGTCGTAAAAAGCCGAAATTCACCCACGAGCTCGCGTGTGTGGCCTCGCATTCGCCATCTTGGCGTCCCAATGCAAGTGGCTGGCCGAGGCACGTTGCCGTATTCAGTGGTGCAATAAAGTGCTTGTCAGTTTCGTAAGGAGGTCAGGCGAAATGAAGTTTCCTTTTAGGTGTTTCATGCGATGGCCCCTCATCACTATCGTTCCTGCCCGCGTCGAGAATACACATTTAAAACCTTGAATTTGCCGTACCTTTTTGCATCTAGTTGTTTCAAGAATGTTGCACGGTTATGTCGTTAATTTCGTAATTATTAGCGTCGCATGCTAACAAATGGTCGACAGACTGAACCACATCAAAGGAATAAGGAATAGTGCTAAATGCTTGTAAAATAGCCAAATGAAGAATAATTTTAAAGAAATATGCACTCCTGCAGGTTGCCCTTTCCTAATTCGGCGGGGCTTACTTTGGGCGTAAAGGGCATGGCGGAGCTAACTACTATTAAATGACTGTGATCATTTTAAAAGTACACACCAGAGCTCGTAATAAAAGCCTACGGAACACGAAAAAAAGACAAATAGTCCCAGTTTTCGAAGACACGGAAGTAGTGTGGTTGGTAGTACGAATTCGCGTCAGTAATTTACTTTAAGGGAGTGTTCGCGAGTCGGCAAATATTGACGCTTAGCTGAAGCTACCTAGGTGTTCGGTCCGCGTAGTGGGGTGTTTGAAAGATCGTCCTTAAAAGTTGTGTACTTTCCATCACGGAGCCGTCCTTCGATCACCGACATCAAACCGACGTGCGTGGGCGTAATTTATTGTCCAGTTTTCTGAGACATATCCGGCTGATAGCGTCCCTGCCGTGAATAGACAGGAAACACTGTAGGGTGAGGTGACGCCTAAGTACAGATTGTAACTGGGACTGTCATTGCAAACTAGTCTGGACTGATTGAGAGCATCATATAAGCATTGATTGGAAGCCTAGAATGCTAAATAGAAAGATGACTTGTATGATACGAAAGATAGTTAGAAAGGTTGGTGTTAGCTCAAGACTGTTGATGGGGCGTAGCGCACTTTGTGTTTCCGTTTTGATTCCCTTGCACACGAAGATCAGCCCACGGCCAAGTGTGTCAGCGTGTATGAGATTAGGGACGTGTGTGGGAGCTCAAGCAATATCCAGATTTGGTGGCTTGGAATACATTTAGGTGAGTTGCGTTTGCGTTGTTTACACAGCCGATCATTGGAACTGTTATCTGCGGATTTGTATGATTCAGGGCAAATCTCTCATTGTCAAATTCCTATTCACGTAGACAGTGAAGGTGTATTGTTTTTGGGCGAACTTAATGCTACAGTTAGTGGAAATGTCATTATCGTAAATTTAACAATGTTGTCCCACCTTAATTTAAAAGTCATGGCAATTATGCCCCACTTTGTACTACGCTCTGTTTGTTTCACCGTTATTGGTATCGAATTGGGTTTGCTGCATGCGCCTCGATAACCTTAATCACCTAAAACAGGTTACGGAAAATTTCTTTGCAGCATCAGCATAAACATGTGACAATGAGGGTGCTTTCCCTTTGCGAAGGCGTTTTTTAGGAGGGACTTGTACTGACAACTAAGGGGTGTGACACTTTTTTTCTGACAATTCCTGACCCATTTTGAAGCCTGTTTTGTGTGAAATACAAGTGCTGTCGAATTGAACTAACCAGTAGCTTTTATTTTGCAAGAATTACCTGTGAAAATCACCTGCCTGGCATGTCATTGGCCAGGTTTATCTGCGTCGGCGATTTTCGCGCCAATCATGAAGTACCTTCACGGTCGTAGACTCACTGGAATCGATCTGTCACAAGTGTCATTTTTAGACTACTTTTTGCTGCATTCACTTCGACGTCTTGTTTGGGGTGTGTGCGTGGGTTGTCACTTTGCCAAGATTGGTTGTGTTCTGCATAACACTACCCATTCAATGCCGCACTCTTGAAAGTAAAGAAGCTGAGTATTACTCAAAAGGCGAATTATCCTATGGTTCAAGTAGGCACTTGACACTCCTAGTAATACCTCACTCTCTTGTAGTGGCCTTTGTCGTTTTCTACCTCTTTGTGAACTCAGTGACATTTTGCTCTCACGCAACTTCACTAGCCCATCATTCACGCTAAGTTGTACCAATCGCAATTTTTTAACCAAGATTTGAAGCTACTGACCACCAATGAAGAACCTCTTTAAGTGTACGAAAAATTAGATTGACTAGCTTTGTTTGCACAAGTCATTTGATTTAAATTTTTGAGTTTTTCATCTTGCATATTCACAATTACGACACTTGTTTGAGGTAAATTATAGTGTTTCTCAGTCACTGCCCATTAAACAACTGGGATAAGGTAGCTGCCGAAAGTGGTCATGCAAATAATTTCATCGAGCACTGTGAACCGCGCTTATTCTTGTTAAAGCAGGTTCTTGCCAATCCCACACAAGTTTGTTCATTAGCTGTTCCAAGGCAGGAACATTCATGATAGAATTACCCATAATTGATGCACGTCTAAGTTTGAAAAAGTGTTTTCCATGTACGTCGTCTCGAGAACTGACCCTTTCGCCTGTTATAGCAACACCAGATGTCGTTGCCGGTGAGGGGACGGCTGCTCCGGCCAGCAGGACGTCGACGCACGAGGACCAGCGACCGGCAGTGCCTCCTCGGACAGGCGGCGCCGCCACCGCCGCCGCCGCCTCCACGGTCACTTCTGGCGTCGTACATCTTGATCTGCACACCGTCGGGAAGCAATTGGCAACTGGCGTCACATTTGAGGTGAGTTAGTGAATGCACACTGTCAAATCAAAGGTGGCATCATCAGCAAGCAGGTCTTTTTCTTGCTCGGTTTTATTTCTTTCGTACTACACTTTTTTATTTTGCCATAACTTCCTCCCGGGCGTTCGTGACTGAAAAGTTCGGCTGTGCCCTAAACTCGCATTTTCCTGTTTTGCTGCTTGCGTAGTTTTGATGATATTTCATTCTGATATCGCCATCAGCTGTCCACCTTTAAGGACATGCTACCACCGACAGCCAGGCAGTAAAGTTTGTTTTCGCTACGTTATCCACTAGCATTACCGGCAGAATTTCTTTCTCGATAGGCAAACGCGCGCGAGTTATTGTCACTATATGATAGTGTAATTTATGTATAAATCGCAAAAAAGTGAACAAGGTAACGCATTTAAAGCGAGGAATCTTTAAAAACCTGAACTGAACAATCAGCCCACTGTACAATCCGGTGTCCCATTGATGACGTCCATTAGGTGATTTGATGTATCAACCCACTAAAGTTGTTCTTTATTCAAATTTGCATACTTTCTAGCAGTAAACTTTATGGCAGTCACATTCAGGGTTCAATGAATTGAACTATACAAACAAGGTGTTCGGTAATGTATGGGATTGGGAACCTGTTTTGTCAGACAAACTACTCTACCTAACGTTCAGAGATAGACTTTGACGACAACTTTCCAGGTTGTACCGGCGCGAGTGTTTGGACTTTTGCGGCAGTGTGCAGTCGTCGTGCCTGTCATGAGCAATACTGAACTTAGGCTGTGGGATTCCTATCCGTCCGATCATCGATTTTGTTGAGGAAAGGGATAAGCGATCACTTTGTGAAAACTTACAAACACTAAGAGTTGTAAGTAATTCCTGTTTAGGCTTAGGTGCAAAAAAGGTGATCAGCGACACAAACGTTAACGTTTGGCCACTGCGTGCCCATTTCATTGAAAAATGGGCCATAGTGTAATCCGATGGAGATGGAGGTCACTCTCGCTTCATCTTTCTCCTATGGATTCCCGCCTTTGTTTTAGGAAGGTTTGGGGGAGACGCCTGTAGCTGAACCCTGTTCCCTTCGCTGGTCTAGTGTCGTGTGCGATTGGATTCTTATTTGTATCTGGCTTTGAAACCACGGCAATACCGACAATTCACTTCACAATTCTTTTTGATTAGTTTATCAACCTTGGTGACCTAGCTTCTGGTTTGACAAATCACTATGTTGATTGAATTAGTTTTTTTTCGGGGATATCTAATTTTACAACCTGTACGGCTTGTCCAGATCTTTATCTGATAGTCGATTAATCTGTCTTAATTGAGCTCTGAAATTCCTTTGTTAATATTGCAACTCTAAAGCTGATGTTGTAGAGCTCTTATTTCTAGCGGTGTAAGTTAAATTTTTGGTTTCAAAGCCTCAATTGTGGCGGAAGACGACCGGTGATTGTTGAAATGGGGCGGAGTGAGTTGTGCGTAGACGTGGTGAAAACTTACGCGACTGACGTAGTTTAGTTTTGGCGGTGTAGGATACTCCTGATAAGCACGCCAAAGTGGGTCCAAATCGCAGTCCACATAGTTGAACTCTTAGTCTGGACTAGTTTGAAAGTCTGGCAGTCGACCGAGTGTGAATGCATAAACATACATTCGATAGTCATAACTTCGATTTAAGCTTAAAACATCAAACTCGAGGGACCCTTTTGCCAAGTTTGACCGCCAAATTTTTTTGGGCATTGAATGTTAACTTGGCTGAAAAAGTTCATGATAACCCCATAAACCGTCAGGCGTGGTTTAGACATCGTTTGCAGGAAGATCCAGCAAAGCGGTGCATGACCTTAAAGCAACGGATGTCCGGAACTGTGCGGCATTGGATGTTAGTGTTTTTTTTCTGTGTGTACTTGGCACGAACAGCTTAACCAACGCAATGACAAGTTTTTTTGTCATTGACACGCAAATATTTTCTTGACTAGGGGGTTTTAGAAGGCCCAACGTGACCATACGATTTAACATTAGCCCATAACACAGACTATTATATTAGTCTATTTCAGTGCAGACGATAATGCCAGCAATGTTGAGAATTAATCGACAATGATAAAGAAATCAGCTGCAAAGGAAATCAACTTCTTTGCAGTCCATGCAAAAACTAAGTTTCTGTATTAGGTTTCATTCATTGTTGTTTCCCTCACTCAGGAGGCTCGAGCTATCAAATTGATCGTGATCTTCCTCGCCCTCGGGTGTCCAGCCAGAATTCGCTTTGAGTACGACTTTGTGCAGTCGGGACACGGCAAGGCGTCCTCCTACATAGCCCTATCTAAGGAGGCCATGGCCAACGGCGAGGGCATTAGCAATGGCCTTCGACGCCTCCTCCATCTCAGTGCGAGCGAGTACCTTAACCTCAAGAACTGGAATGTGAGTTACTTGTTAGCGCCGCCCAGAGTCTACACCCCACCAAGCACGCTCATCATGTTCTTTTATTTTTGTTTAGTCACCTTTTGTGATTTCCAGGGATAAGTGCCTAGCCTATGTTACTCTGTGGTAGAACTAGTGTAAGCTACCCAGGTAACATGACACTTGGCGGTCTATCACCTAAAATCCAGTGAGTGCGGGACGGTCGTACCTTAACTGTCCGTTTCGCCGGGCGTCGACAGCAACTTACTCCGGACTCGAATAGTGCTATATACGCAAAAACATTTCGCGAAATGCTTCATTTTTGGTAGCATCTGTGTAGTGCTGAAGGGGACTGAAAGTCGGAAAGCCGACGATGTGTGGAGAAGCGAATTTCGGCATAAAGTCCATCCAATAATTAGTGTTTCTGCTATGCGATCTACTATGCAAATCACGATCACTTAAATCGCACTGCATCATTTTAAGGCTGTGCAAATGGAGCATTCCATCAAGTGATGCTTCCTGTGATGTCCTCACGGCGGTCCAATAGGCATATTTCATTCGGTACTGGTTTGATGTTTTGTTTTTGTTTAAAAGTAGCTAATTAATCGCTTCTAGCGTATAAACTCCCCTCTTACCCATCCTAAACTGCTTTTTTTAAAATCAACTTGTGCCGTAAATTTAGCAAAATCGCTTCGAGTGGTTCGTTTTTGAATTGGGGCTCGAGCATCGAAGTGTGTTTTGAAAGAATGTCTGGCACACAAAAAATCGCGCCTCAAAGACTGGCTTAGGGATGTTGATATTGAAGACTTGCCACATGCAGTCAGTAGTTGGCATTGGCGAGAACCGTGCTACAATTGCGGTGATGGGCCAGGTTTTTAGCAAGCTCAATATACTCTTATTTCTTGAGTTCAAATGAGGTTTTTTGCCACTTTTATGCATGACGCAAGTAGTTGGAATGCATTAGAGTCATTTGCCTTGCATGATTCGAGTGGTGTGGTAGTCATAGCGTTGTGAGGTGTTCCAATGATGTCGTTAGCGATTTAACAACTAAGGTCTTTTGTCAGTTTGGGGAGTCTTGAATTGCGTTGTTGTAGTCAGTTGCTTCCAGTTCAAGAGTCTGGCTGTTGTCGACTGTGTGCTTTAAATCCCGAAATTGAACAAAGTAGTCTAGGGAATTGAACTGTAATGAGACAGCACCGCTTTGAATGTCCATCAAATGTTTTGCTGGGCACTACCTGTTTCGTTCTATTGGCGAATAGATGCTTCTTTTTCGCTGGGGCAATCTTTTTTGGGCGAGGGACTGCGAGGTGGCTTATTTTACCTCAAGTGATAAGAGAACAAAATAGGTCGATTTATTTAGTCTGCCAAAAATAAGCCGTGACACAACAAAAGCAAACACGAAACTGGCTCATTCTATATTTAATATTAAGTATTGCAAGTTGATCACACCATTCGCACTCCAGATTGGTCGCTCTGTTGACAATGGCGTGGCATTTTTCATAAGTGCGTAGATTTTGGAAGTAAGCATTTAAATTTCATCTTGATAATTCTTGTTTTTGGCTGTTTTGTTCTCATTCCGCTGGTAATTACGCTATCCTTTAACTGACAATTGATTGCTGGGATTTTTGCGCTCAGGATGATTTCATTGAACGACAACCATTAGGGTTTCGTGTGTGTGTCCTTTCAATGTGCCTGGATTAAATGCGTTGACTGTCGGTGCCATTGGTCGAGAGTTCTCGATTGAATTGACTTGGGAAGTTTTAAGTTGGGTGTGAAGAAGAAGCCTGTGGGGTTAGCATCTAGCCGACGAAACAGCTCAACGGATGATTAGGCGTATCTCTGCGCGCTGCTTACTACTGACTTCCTGCCGACTTTTCTGGCATGGTAAATACCACTGCAGGTGGTGTCATCGGAACAAAACGCCTGGTATGTGCAATTAACCATTGGCATATTAATGTCTGTGTCCCTGGATTGCCTCGCTCCATATTGCACGGAAAACGCAAGGCTGTGGTGGATGAAAGACGGTGACCAAAGCAAGGGGATTTGCTCATAAGGTGCGGCTTGACGCCGTGCACCCCGCTCTGCACCGCAGGATGCAGCGTCGATGCGCCAGCATTGGCACTTCGTCACACGGTGGTCATGCTCCTTGCCGCTTTCATTTCCCAGCCTTTTTCATTGGCAGTGTGCCTTGGAAAAAGCTAAACTACTACAAAATACAGTCGCGTTGCTTCGATTTGTAACCAGTCTGTAGCAACTGCCTAAATCTTGCCAGTGCGGCTACTGTATTTTTAATGTGCTATACCGTTAATTAATTAGTAAAATGTCGCCATTTGACAAACCCTTCTCTCTCAAAATAGTCTTGATTTTTCATTAATCCTCCTGCTTACTGGGGAAAAGTGTGGTCCATGTCAAGTGTTTATGGTTTTTCTTATCGTATTAGCACCAGATTTACACGCGAAATCTCCAAAAATTGAATTTACCATCAAAACAGCTCTTATGCGAAAAAAATGTTTTTAGCTTTCGCCGTATCTTTATTTTGGATATTTACAAGCGCCTGTCGATTTTTCCCGACGTGAGGGAAGTCATTTTGTCATAGGAGCCTAACCTTTGGGCTTCCTGTGGCAATTGTTGGCAAAAATACCGTGATAGCTTTAGCTTCCAAATTCGCCGGGTTGTAGCGGCTAGAGTTTAGCACTGCCTTACAACCCTCTAGTTAACAGCCCAAAACAACCCGAGAAGAGTGGAAAAAGAGAGGCGACAGA